ACTATGCTGAGCTCTTTATAAAGTGTATACAAAATCAGAGTCCTCAGCCCTGCATGCCCTGAACAGGTAGGGAGTGATGCTTTGTTCACCACTGCTTCAGTCAAACTTGCATCCCCAGTGCTCCAGCAGCCCTGCAGGTCTGGCCCTCCAGAGCCCTTTGAAACCTGCAACTGAATTGAACTGAAAATAAAACAATAGGAGTCAAACACTTCTATCCTGATTTGAGGAAATGTTTCAGCATCATTAATGAAGTGTGCCTGTTTGCAACATGCTGGTATCCCGGAGATTGCAATCCAATACTTCAAAGAACACACATTGGTTAAGTATCTTAGTCTTTAGTTTTATTCAAGCTGGAGTAAACCATTGCCAGATATTTTCAGGGAGATAACAGGAGAGAAACAATGGCTCTATTTGGCAGAGTCCAGTGGATGAAAAGTATAAAAGTCCTAAACTGCTGAAAATAGTGAAAAATAATGGATTGGCTCTTCTCTTCTGACTCAATACCTTCATTCTTTTTGACATTTATTTTTTTTATTGGCTTTTCTCCTCTAATGCATTGTGGTGACTCATGTGAAAGGTCTGTAATAGTGTTTCATTGCTGTGAAGTTACCAGATAACCACCACTCCTGCTCAGGCCCTACACAGTTATGTGTATTTAGAATATAGCCAGAAATGGGCTGACATTAATAGAACAGGGTAAAATAAGAGGTGGAAAGAGCATTTAAAAGCAGGTACTGAGAAGTCACACACCCAGAAGACAATGATTTATATACCTGCTGGAAATCAGAAAGGGCATGCAATAATTGGGTGATATACAGAGCTATTTCATGGGATAGCTGGTGCCACGGCAGCTCACTTCTGCCTTTCTCCTGTTCAAATAATTGCACTTGCTCACAGATGCAATGCTTGAGTCAATATTTTCAGGAACTTTGCAACTCACTTAGGCCCAGACCATATCTGGCACTTTCTGCTGTCTCAAAGAGCAAATCCCATTTCATGTGATCCTGCAGATGTGCAGGGCTGTGCTGCAGGAGCTGGGATGAGGCTCTGGAGAAGGGACCCATCGCTTGGTTAGCCTTGGATTTGGTGTTCAGGAGGGAGGTGCCACCTCCCTTAAAGTCTCTGTGCCCAGTTCTGAGTTTTCCAGCTCATTCAGATGCCTGGGTGTTGCTGTGAGGAGCAGAGAGCCTGTTCCCAGGGACAGGCTTTCCTCTCTTAGCAGAGACATCCAAGGGCCATATTACAAGTAGAGACATCATGGCTTTGCCTAATAATAAACCTATTGACTTAGGACATTTGGGGGCATGAATTAAATAAATTTGTGTTTTACTGAACATAATGTCGGCCAAGTCCCTTCTAGCCAAAGGCCATCTCTTCTGAAGCAATCAGGGCCTTAAATGCAGTAAAACTGAAAATTTATAACTAAAAAATGGAGTGAAGAGTGTTGGTTTGACAATATTGCACAGTCCTGTCCCAGTCTACATTCAGTTCTCAGCTATTCTCTGCCTGCAGTCCAATAGTAAAGTCATATTTATTTTCTTGGCTCTGCTGTGTTAATGAAAAAGCCACTTAACAAAACAAATAGAGGGAAGGACATTTGCAACCAATTATGGTATTGCTGATCAGTCACATTGTGCTGGAAATTACACGCTGAAGTTCAGCCCAGGCAGCTGATCAATGACCGGGCAGCTTGGCACCGGTGCACGCTATCAACTTCATAAATCAATGTAATTCCAGTCCCTGTGCCAGCATATATAGGTGTAGTCAATATGACATCAATATTATATAATGATGGTTAAAACTAATTGCCCAAACACCGTGGTCTCTTATCTGCTGTGCCACCCCACCAGAATCTGATGCTGCTCCAGCAGGGAGGGTGGAATTTGGTACTGGCTGTTCCTTAAACATACGCCTGGGCATTGCTTAAAATCATGGGTTTAAGGCTTTTTTTGTTGGTTTTTTTTTTTTTTTTAAACCACAAGGGAAGTCAGCACTCCAGCATGTCATTGAGGGCTGACCAAATTGCCAGCCAGCTCTGTGCCCCTGGGAGGACGTGGTGTGCACGCCGGGCCTGGCACGTGCGGCAGGAATGGGGCTTCTCCTTGGTGGCAGATGCACATCTTGGCTGGTTTATGCATGGCTTCCTCCTCTTAATTAGCTCTGACATTTTAGCTCTTGTAATATGGGTTTGGCTTAGGAGTTAAGGCTGAAAACTTTGGGAGTTTTTTTTGCTGGAAATGAAGTTTGGTTTAAGTGCAGGAAATCTGGGATGCTTCTAACAGTGTTTGAGCTTTGTGATGGTCTGGAGCAGGGAACTGCAGGAGCTGCTGAGTGTGCTGGTGGTCACTGCCTCCCACGCCTGATACCACCAGTTTCAGTGCTCTCTGCTCTTGCAGTTCACTCTTGTCACAGAAACTACATCATTTGTACTTATAAAAAACCTGCAATTTATATTAACTATTTAGAAACAGCTTTTTTAAGGGTACCTGGACACTGAAGACATCCTAATAGGATTTTTGTAAATCCCACTCCTCTCCAGCCAAGTGATTTACTTATCTCCCCACCTCTAATGTTTTATACACAATATTTTACCTGGAACCACAGCAACATCTACTCTGGCACATACACCAAGCCTCTTACTTGGCCATGGCTTCAGCTTTTCTGGGAGCACACCTGGCCCTGTGTTATGTGGGACCTGCTGTTTGTCCCACATCATAACAACAGGAAAAGGGACCTTTGGGCAGTACTGATCCACCTTGGCACAGTAACTTTTGTTGTGTCCTCATACCTCAGCTGCATTTCTCAGATTCATCGTGTCCTGGAGTCACTGGAAAAATATGTGAGAGATTTCTATCTCATTCCTCTGTGCTTAATTCTTATTAATTCAAGTATTTTACTACATAAAGGATATTTTAACTGTAATATTGATTAATCAATCACCAATGAATCATGATAGAATGTTTTGGAAGAGACCTTAAAGTACATCCTGTTCCAACCCCTGCCATGGGCAGAGACACCTTCCACTAGATCAGGTTGCTCAAGTCCCATGCAACCTGGCTTTGAACATTTCCAGGGATGGGGCATCCACAGCTTCTCTGGGCAGCCTGTGCCAGGGCCTCCCCACTCTCACAGAGAAAAATTTCTTGTAATAACCAACCTCGGTCAGTTTGAAGCCATTTCTCTCATCCTGACCCTCCAGGTCCTTATCTGATCAGTCTTGTCTCCTGTCCCCCTCTGCTCTGTGCCAGTGCCAGCTGCAGCTCACTGCTGGCTCCCAGCTCTGCTGCACCTTTCCTCCAGGGAATACTCTGTTATCAGCACATCTTTATATTCTGGGAGCATGTACAGGAATGGAGCCATGGCTGTGCAAGGTGCTCTGCAAAAGTGGAGGGGAAAAGGCAATCCCTGCCCTGAGTGTATGTTCTGCAGGCACTAAGAGCCAAGGGGATATACAGCACATGCACATACACAAAATATATGTGCATATATATGTATATATATGTATATATATATGGCAATGACCTTTCTTTGGTAGCATAATTAGGTTTGGCTAATGCTTAGCTGAGAGCAGACATAGGGAGCAAGGAAAAGAGGGAAAAAACTCCTGATTCATGTTGCCCAGCCACAGCTGAAGCTAAGTTTGGCTGGTTTTTGGCAGAAGTGAGTTGTAAGGATAGTTTTGAAGGAGGAGAAAGGAGTGGCTGGTCAGATTTTATCAGGAAGGTTTTCCCAGGCTTAAAAGAAAGCTGGGCAGAATGTGAGCCTGAGCTTTGGGAAGGAGCTGACAGAAGGATTATAGAGCCCAGTGGGGCAAAGGCTGTGGGCTGGCCATATGTAGGTAGGCTGTTGGTTCATCCAGGTAAGAGATGTGCAAAGGTAACAGGAATAAAGACTAGAAGGCAAGAAGCTCATAAATTATGTAACTGAAGGACTGGTATGGTCATGGAGTGAATTGATGTGGCCTTGAGGGTAGCTGCTAAACCTGAAGTTTGTAATAACTGATGTAAGAAGAGGGAGGCTTGGAGGAGATTTTAAAAAATAAAATTTTAGACATGATAAAAAGAGCGAATTTGAGACACAGTTCCAAGAAATCCAGCCTGGTATCACTTTGGTGAGAAGGAAATGGAGAAAACAACCTATTCCTGACTGACTGGGAGGTGTAAGGTCAGGGGGAACACTGACTGGGCTGCTCTGTAGAGCTCTTGCAGTCTTTTTGAGTTATTTGGCTATTTCCCCAATTTATTTTTTTATTAATGGACTTTTAAAAATATCATTACTGATTCTGGTAATTTACCCAGTGTCACAAAACATTGGTGACTATGAGTGTACCCAGCCTGATTCTTCTCATGGGACAACTGCTTCACACCAACTTGGTTTCTTTTGATATTTCCACAAGTTCTAGCAGAAAAATACTCTGAGAAAATTTTATCTTGTGGTGGCTTATCCTTTATAACTCTGGCCATCACTCAAATAAAAAATGGCAGTGGTCTGTGGAAAAAAAGAAAAATAATTGAAAAATTGATTCTTCCTTATGTTTTTCCAAACCACCAGAGCAGTTTACCATTTCTGGGAAAACATGCAATCAGGCACTATTTCCCTTAATGTCAGAATGTAGAATAATGCTTAGATGAATTTTTCAAAGAAGACACTTTTATATTTGTCCTATCAAATGGAGAACATAATCAGCTTTTTCTTTCTCTTACCTTAAATATTTACATCTAGAAACATTAAGTAGATTTGTTTTCCTTCCTTAGTGTGCTTGGTTGGGGAAAAAAAGGGGATTTTATACTGATTTTTTTGGTTTGTTTGCATTGGAGTATAAAACCAGGATGTAGAACAGTTGGAAATGGGCTGGAGGATTTATCAGTTAATCTTGGAGGACATCATATCTAGTATGGTACAATGGGAAGGTGTGAAATCCTGCATCCAGTAGGAACACTTCCTTCAGTTTTCATTACCTTTATTAGATAAGAATAACAGAATAATTTGTACTCTTTCAAGGTTTCTACAAGATAATTGACTTCTTTGTGATCCTCTTCAAATTGGAAGCCGCCTGACTCTATGTGAGTTCCCAACCACACCAGTAACAGCTGTGTTTGTGTGGAGAAACCTTCATCACAACCTTGGGTTTGCACGAGGAGACCCCAGACCCTCGTGCAGCTGGGGTGGGATGCTGAGGAGCAGGGCTGCTCCTGGGCTCTGGCAGG